CTTTACGACTTTGATATCTCAAGATCTTAAAAACTTAATTTAATCAAACTTCATCATATCATATAAGAAGCCTCTGACTCATGATATTAGCGGTAACAGAAAGAAGTATGATATAAGATTCTCCTCGATAAGACTTCAATGGAGCATTGTGATAGATATTTCAAAGGAGGAGTGTTATAATAATTAAGATAATATAATACTATTATTTAGAAATATCAATCTTAAATAATAATGACAAATTATTAGAGGTTTTGAATTTATCAAAGGTAGAATAGTAATACCAATTATTCACTTAATATAATAATAATATTGTTACTAATATAAATACTCCTTTTAGACATATCAATTTCATTTTGAAAGATAATTTCTACTTACTTTTTCATTTTCTCTAGTTTAATATTATAAGTCAATATTATTATATTAGTTTCACAAATATTAACTAAGCTAAATTTAAATATTTGACTTTTGTTAACATACCTTTAATTTTATTTTTTAACAAATAGTTATACCTGACCAATTCCTCCATAGTGGAGTTTTACCATTGAAATCTTTTTGATATAAGTCAAACTTCTGTAATCGGACATAATTAGATTCTTTCGCATAATTTGGACAAGTACAGATTTTGAAGTAAGAAAAAGACACATCTAGTCATAAGTTTCTTTTTTAAAGTCATAAGCATATTAAGGCTACATAACAAGGACAATAATTCACTAAAAAAAAGACAATAAAACTGTAAAAAAAAAAAAAAAAAGAACAATAATTTTTTAATTAAAAAAAAAGAAGAAGAAATATTTAATTAGAAAAAAAATAGTCCCATTTATAAAATGGTGTTGTTGAAGCATTTACCAAAAATAAATGAGTGTTATTATAAAATAGAAGTATCCATAAAATTTTCCGATAATTCTCTTATACCTTCTTCAAAATCCTTTCCCTCTCTATCTCAGATAAATCAAATTGCACCCAAATCCGCAGAAGAATCATTCCCTACACTTTCTTCCGTCACCAAAACAAATCTCAGCTTATGGGATCGCGGTAATTGTACCAGATCGGATCCACCGTGCCGAGGATGGCGGCGCCGAGGAACTTGACGGCGTTAAAAGACGAAGAGAGCGGCGTGGAGCTGGAAGATGATTCCCCTGCTGCTAAGAAACCTAAATCGGAGAGATTCCCGCTGAATTCATGGGAATTCGCCGTCGCCGTTGCTGTTTTCTTCGTCTTCTCCACCGGTCTTGTTTGTATTTACCTCACCATGCCCGCCGCTACTTCCGCTAACCTCAAATTGCCTCGTACCCTCTCCGATCTTCGCAAACTCAAGTAATTTTCCCCTTTCGTTAGGTTTTGATTTCATTGGAAACTAAAATCTGTGCTTTGTTTCGATCTGTGTGTTTTTTATTTATTGGTTTTTGGGGGTTTTGTGCAGAGATCAATTTTCGACGTATGCGAATGAGAATCCGGCGCAGTTTATTGTTGGGTATTGTTCCACGTATATTTTTATGCAGACGTTTATGATTCCGGGAACGATTTTTATGTCGTTGTTGGCTGGGGCTCTTTTTGGAGTTGTGAGAGGGATAATGTTGGTTGTTTTTAATGCTACTGCTGGAGCTTCTTCGTGTTTCTTTTTGTCTAAGCTAATTGGGAGACCTATTGTTACTTGGTTGTGGCCTGAAAGGTTGAGGTTTTTCCAATCAGAGGTTTGTGCCCCCTTTTTGTCTTTGTAGCAATGATACTTCATATTAAAGTATTACATGAAACACGACGCTGACACGTCGACACTGGTAATAATTTGAAATTAATTAATTAATTAATTAAATGTAATTACTAGTGTCGGTGTTGATTTACACCCATACTTTTTCCAAAGTTATCGGTGCTATAGGGCATGTAAGTATCTAACACCGGTACATGTTGTGGGTTTTGAGTGTCTCATGTTAAAACTATTACATGTAATTATATTCAATCACCTTCTATTTTTTTAATTTATTATTGGTGTCTATGTGTTAGTTTCTTGTCTGGTGTTCATTTATGTGTTGGTGTTTTGTAGCTTTATCCTCCTTTTTGATATTTGTCTGGAAATTTAAGTGCTAACCGGCTTTAGTTTACTTGTTTGTTTTTTTGGGTTGAATCAGATAGCAAAGCGTAGGGATAAGCTGCTGAATTACATGCTTTTTCTGAGGATAACCCCGACATTGCCAAATCTTTTCATCAATTTGGCATCTCCAATTGTTGATGTACCATTTCATATATTCTTTTTCGCAACATTGATTGGCCTTATTCCAGCTTCTTATATTACTGTCAGGGTAAGCTTTTCTGCCTATTTTACTGTTATTTTACAATATTTTTACTTTACCAGTTTCTATTAACTTGATGTTTGCTGATCTGTCTGTGTGTCTATGTTGTATGATTTAATTATTTTTTCTTTTCATCTCAATTTGTTCTGTTTCTTATTGCATGTCTTATTATGCTATATGCCTTAGTGTTTTTTTTTTTTTTTTGCTTTTTTCCTTATACATTTGGCTGGCAACAAACAATTTTCGCGGGATTATTGGAGTGTTGATCTTGAAGGATATCGAGTATTTGAATGATTATGCTGGTAAACTTTAAACTGAAAAGGCTTAGGTCAAGTTGTCGGATTATATGTTAGAGGAGGCGTTGTTCTTGGGATCAAGAGTAGTACCAAGTCCGTTGAGGATTTCTCTAGTACCTATTGCAGAGTTTAGTACTTTACTATGAGAGAACGGAATCTAAACTTTTTTTTTGGCATCTGCTTAACATGTCTGCTTTGTCGTTCTTTGCTTTAAGTGATTTGGGTAATTGAAAGTGATAAGAATGACTTTGTTGTTAACTTCTCATTAATTTTATTTCTCTGATCATATTGTTCTGGATTGATGTTGATAATATATTAGTTTGATTTCATTGCTTGTGAGATATAGTATAATTTACATCTAGACGTGCTTACTGAGTATATTCAAAAGATGAAGGGACAAGGTGAAGTAAAAAAATACTATGAGATGGAGAGATATGGGTATATGTCAACCATAGCATCCAAGTAGGGTGATAGAAAATACCAGTCAGGCTAATAGAATAACTTACCTTTCATGATTATATAAGACTTGCGACGTCAAATAAAACTAAATGCTTGGCAATAAAAAGCCATCAAGAAAGTAACTTCAATGCTATAGAGCTCATACATCACATTAGAGCAGGCTAGCAGCACACTATGTAATTGTTTGAAATTTAGTGCGACCCATTTGAATTTCAACCAATTAGAGTGTGTTGAAAAGAGTATGTTAGAGAACGTGTTGCTAGCATAACTCTTTAGTACACTATTACTGTAGGTTAGTGGATGTGCAAGACAAGATGAAATTAGAAATGAAACCATTGGCATAAATCCCATTGTTTGAAAGCAATGGTACTACGGAAGTGTCTTCTTTGATGATTTGGACCTGTGTGAATAAGCCTAGCAAAAACTGGTAAGGAGGGTAAAATTTTATGGAAGATGGTTCAAAGGTGAGAGGTAGAAGGAGACTGAAGGAACTTGTGGTCCAGAATATTAAGAAAACTAGATTTAAATGGTCTATCATAACATTGTTTGATTTATGTAACTCATTTGACTTTGTGGGAAAGCATTTTTGTTGGTGGTTTTATTTTATTTTTTATTGATCATGGATTTTCCTTTTTCATAATTCCAAACTCTTGGATTAGGCTAATATCTTCTATTGTCGCTTGTCAAACTTTTGTGATAGCTGTATTTCTTTTCATCATACTCTTAATGACTCCATTGTTGTTTAACCAGGCTGGACTTGCCCTTGGGGATCTAAAGTCAGTGAAAGATCTATATGATTTCAAGACATTATCAGTACTTTTCCTTATTGGTTTTGTTTCTATACTTCCAACAGTTTTGAAGAGGAAGCGGGTATATGAATGAAGTCGTACTTAATCCATTTGTCAAAGGCCCGTTATTGTGTATCAGAGGGGATTATAGTTATAACAAGATAAAGGAAGTATTATTATTAATGGAAACAAATAGCAAATGCTCCTTTAATTTTAAATGGTGGAGCCTCTTGTTTTTACTCTTCTTCCTTTTTGATCGCATGGAGAGAGTTAGGGTAGACTTAGCCAGTGATGATCAATATATTCAGAGCTATGGCTCATGAGGCTTTGGTGGAGCACTTAAATTACTCCTGATATGGTTTTGATTGCACCAGGAACAAATCGTAGAATGTTTTTAATGTTGTTGGTGTGTCTGCCTTGCACCAGATAGGAACATACATTTACTTTGTACTATTTACTTTGTACCATTCCTTGTTTATCATCAATTATTACGAGATATAATAGAAAACTTCAACTGTTAGTGATTAATCTTCCTGTCATTACATCAAATTCTAGTATTGTCCAACTTTTGATGTGCTAGCCTCTGATGAATGTCCTTTTCAAAATCACATTGTATTTTGATGAAATTGTGGTGGCACCGTGTTTTTTTTAAGCTTTCGGCCACAATTGTGTCAAACTTGTGAATCCAAACATGTATTGATTCATATTCATCAGAGGCTATTGTGGGGTAGATATTTGTACATTGTCAATTAATCATAACTTATTATTTGCATGACTTTTAGGTTAAATAAGATGGAAGTTAAATGTTTCAATGATCAACCAATTGTGGCTAACTAATGGTTTAAAATAGATGTTTACTTGCTCCATTAAGATAAAAGGAACCAATTCAAAGTGACATTTTGAAATTAAACTCGTTCCAATAAACCATTCCATGCAAGGTAAGGAGAACCCGTGTAACAATTCAGAGCAAACAAGCCCTTCATAGTAGGAATTGGAATGGAAACTGGAGACAGGAAAAATAGCAATGTATTTGGAAACAAAATATTACAATATGCCATACAGTAGCTACATAAACTGCAAACAACTCCATTAAGAAAAACTAAACATGGCAAAATGTTTGCTAATAGTTATAGATGAAAGAAGATATAATACTGGCATAGTGCACAAAATATTCATGATGATTCCAAATTTATATCATCCATAGTAACTTTTGGGTAGTCCTCATAGCCCATAATGCTATTTATCCTTATGCGTGTATTTGGCTGTCACAAGTTGAAAACCAAATCAAACATCAAATTCAGATAAATCAATGAATTAGTTAATCTGCATAACATCAATAAGGCACAATATAATATCTTGCACATAAGTTAATCTGTACACTCAATAATATCTTGTAGTACCTGTCTGTGACCGATGTTTCTGCGATAGTGCTTCTTTCTTTTGTATTTGAATACAATTACTTTGTTGTCTAAACCCTGCATTAAAAACAAAAATGGTTAAGGTAAAAGAGGTATTTTACTTTTAGCTTTTCCTAACAGGAGATCAGAAGCGTACCTGATCTTCCACGGTTGCATATACCACCGCATTTGTTACTATAGGTTTCCCTATGTAGCAGGATGTATCTGTGCCAACCAGTAAAACCTTATGCAGGGCAATCTACAATTCCAAGTTTACAACAGCTATAATCAATATATACTTAAAAACAAGTGTAAGTGAACCACCATTTTAAATATATCGTTTGACCATGCAAACCGATACTTAACAAATGGTAACCATTTAAACCGCAATGATTAGGGAGCTACTGGCAATGATAACAGTGGCGAATAAAAAGAAATATTGAATGAGTTTAACGAATGTTGCAGATCTATGGCTAAATGACTGAAAATGAATGCAAACTGCAACATGTAAAATAACATAAATTAAGAACAAACAAGATGCATACCTTGTCGTTAACCTTAGCATCTTTGAGCCTCTGAACAACAAGCCAACGGCCAGGGTGAACAATATATTGACGTCCACCGATCTAAACAGATCAACAAAAGAAAATGCTAAAAAGCACAAGAACAGAAGACAAAATTTGCAGACAGAAACCCCAAACACTAAAACAAGTACCTATTTACCAACCAAACAAACTGGAAGTAGCCCAACAACATAAATAGTAACAGTTTAAACCATCCAACAAACCATTATACTCAAGAATTGCTAGTTGTTAATAGAAAAATGATAATTGACACACAAATTTGAATATCAATGTAGTTCAAAATATCCAGTTAATTTCACTTTCAATGAATGATTAATGGATATAACTAGGCAATGAAGTACGTACACTAGAAACACGACACCGATCCAGACACATCGACACCGATAATAATTTGAAAAAACAAATTAAACATAATCACGAGTACCAAACACCAACACAAACAAGGACACATTTTTTCAGAGGTGACAGTACTAAAGAGTAACTAAGTGTCACAACTCATTAACCATTAACTCAACACAGCTAACCACAATTCGAACATCATTAGCATGAATTTTCAAGTGTATATTTGAACACAAATTGCAGTTAATGAATATCTTATCATGTATATTTGAACACAAATTGGATGGTTAATTGATACATTTGTATATTTGAACACTCAAAATCACTTCTTGCAAATCAAATAAAATAATCAAAATCAACAAATGAATTACTCAAAGTTTGTTAATTTACTAAATCACAAACAAAAATTTCAGATAATTGGTTAAACATAAAACAGATAAAACAACATACATAGAGCTACAAACATGCAAACTCATTTGGGTCACCCTCAAACTTTAGGATAATCTACATTAACAATTACACCTAAAGCATGAAACTTTTAAACAATTCAAACAAATGGGTCACCGAATCTACTCATAACTCACCATTACAACTGCGAAAAGACCCTTCTCCCATGACGGAGATTGAACAATTTGAGTGGAATCAGACTTCGGCTGAGTTGGAGAAGCTTCAGACTTGGACTCAACGACTGCGACTGAAGATTCAGTGGATTTGGGAATGGGTGATAGAGGGAAGCGTTGTGAGAAAGTGGATTGGAAAGAGAGGTTGTAAGATTGAGAAGGGAAGCGTTGAGAAATTGAGAAATGGGATTTTGTTGAGGTTTGGGAAATTGAGCAATGGGTTTGGAAAGAAGAAGAGAGAGTGGAAAGAGTAGCGGTTGCAGAAGCCATTTTGGATTATGGAGATAGGAGAGAACTTCCTCTCTCTCTCTCTCACCTTTATCCTTTCTGTTTCTCCTTCTTCCTATCTATATATTCACTCTTACAAGCCCCATTTTATTTTTACAAAAATATGTTTATATTATTTTTATTTTTTTATAAAATATATTCAATTCTTATTTATTAGTACTATTAATTTAATGGAAAGAAAATTTTGTAAATTCGATTCATCACCCTCAAGTTAAATTGTAAATTTTAAATGAGTGGTATGATATGATTTAGTGATGACAATTATTTTATACTATTTGATGATAGTAAAAATATTTTACATTATTAACAAGATTTTGAGTAAAGTTTTGTCTATGTCAATCGGCCATATTAATCTAATTGTTTGGCTCAGTTAAAATTTATCTCTAAGCGATTAAGACAACATCATAACGATGTGAAACGATTGGATATTTATTTCCTATTTTAAATTTATAGTCGGTCCAGTGAATTAGATATTGATGCTGAAAATAAAAAAAAAAATTATAATTGATTATTTTTTAAGTAACTATCCATTGGCATTAGATGTTAATCTATTAATAAAAATTAAAATACATTAAAATTAGTTTTCTTTTTGAGTCAACCTCTAGCCTATAAATAGAATAACGATTGAGAAACACATATAATAACCTTAGCACATATAATAACCTCTAGCCTATAAATAGAATAACGATTGAGAAACACATATAATAACCCTAGCGCATTCGTTGTTAGGTAACGTGTGATTATATGTATGCTGGTTACCACAACGAGCGTGAGATCGTTGTTATAAATTAGATATCACGTAACTTATAACTACGGTTTATGGAAACAACCGTTGTGAAATAATTGAATAGTCCTGGGTTCGAATTCAAGCAATGCCATTTTTGGATTTTATTATTCTGGATAACGCTCTCTTTATAACAACGGTTGATTTAACAACCGTTGTGATATAATTTGTGCATTTTTTAATAAAAATTTCAATTTTATAAAATTTCCAATTTTGTAGCCTGAATATTTATGATTCGTATCATACTAGAAACAACAATACACCAATTTGTGAATTGAATTAGATCAAAAATTGTATTACATTAATGACACATTTCCATTAGGAACCAAACTTTGTATAGTATATAAAAACCAAAATTGAGACAAAATAACCTACAATGTACACATCACTACATCAAGTAATACTATCTTGTTGTCTTGGGGTCTTGTCTCTTGGTGTCTTCACTTTAAACACCTATAATTTTCAAATATTAATAGTTGTTAGAAATTTAATAACATCATTGGAAATTATACCAAACAATAAATAATGAATGAAAAATATAAAATACTTGTTAATTTTCTCATATTCCTTCTTGATAATCATTGCGAACAGCATGCACATCATCTCTATCAACTGCTTCATATGAGTTAGGCACTTGTGTTGCATAAAAAGGAATGACAACAATATCCAAACTTTCATCATCACTATGATAAATGTGTTTTCCTTTGAGAACAATTGATCATCTCCCAAATAATTCTACAGGGTCTTTCACATAAAAAACTCATTTCACTTTGTAATACGGGGGAAACTGACTTATTTTTGCATTTTATCGCAAATTTTGTGGATAGCTAGAGTCGCCACCGACTTTTCTTTTATCCAATAAGGAAAAAGTGAAAAGAACAAGAAAGACCTTGAAGATTTTGAGTTTGGGGAGTAGGTTATGAAAAGGGAAGGTGTTAGCACCTTTTTCACCCGTAGTTATCTACAGGCTCTTAATCGCTAGCTCACTTTGTTTGAGAATATTTTGTGTTCGTGCATTTGAAAATATTTTGAAAATGCCTAAGTACAACAACTTTGTAATGATTCTTGTATAAGTTAAGAATGCGTACAAAGTGTTTGTTTTTTTTTAAAATATTTCAGAAGAGTGTTTGTGAAAAAGATGTTTTTTTGTGAGCAAGCGATTACGAGCTATCTACCTACTCAAATGTCTTTCGTGTTGTTTTTCTCCTCCTTAGATAGTGCTATCCTGCCATTAGTTAGTAGGAAGCTCTATCGTTGGATGTGAAGGGACAAGCGAGGGTCATCGTACAGTCATCGAAGGAAACTTGTAAGGATGCTTTAGCAATTTTATAAGGGATTAGATCATTTTACCGAAGGCAGCATCGAAGGGTCATCGAGGGACTATGATCTTTATTTTCGAGGGAATTTACTAAAGCGTCCCCACGTTCGAGGAATATGACTGCTTTTATTCGAAGGCAACAAGTGGGATTACCTTAGAGGTGAGTGTGTGAAAAGTATATTTTATTCAGTTATTTTATCTTGATTAGGATTATCTAACAGTTGATTTTAGAGCTTGCCATACATACCCTAATTACTAGCAGTTATAAGGAAAGCAGTAAATTATGGAAAGTAAAGGTGCGAGAAGTAAACCTAAACTATTACAAGGCTTCGGGAGAGGGGGTACAAAACCATAAAACGGGAAAAAAAAGAAAGTAAACTCTAATTAACTATTACATATTGTAGCAGTTACATAATCGTAAAAACTAATGCAAAAGTAAACACGCGAAGCGGTAAAAGTGGTATGGCTTCCACTCGTAGAAATACCATCCGAATCAGCTTTGTAAAAGTGCCTCCTCAACTCCAAGAGTTAGCATCAAGGGTTCCTTAGAATTCTCCTTTCACCAAAAGACATGGTCGACTTCTCAATCTGGTTATCTCAAGCTTTAAAGAAGAAATGATGTGTGTGCTCTTTCAATTCTTTGATCATAAATATCATTGTTTCACCTTTCCCGATTATCAATTGGTGCCCACAATGGAAGAGTTCTCTCAACTATTAAGAGTACTTATTCTTGATCAAGTTCCCTTCACCGGTTTGGAAAAGGATCCATAACCTGAGGAGATTGCATCAGCCCTACACTTGAAAAGGTCTGATATTATAGCCAATTGGGAAACAAGGAGCGGAGTCAAGGGTTTTCTAGCCAAGTTCCTGTTAGAGAAGGATCAGCTGTTTTGGGAGGATGTGGATTTGCAAGCCTTTGAAGAAGTCTTGGCTCTTCTAATCTATGGGTTAGTACTTCTCCCTAATCCAGACCAACTCATAGATGTGAATGCTATCAAGGTCTTCCTTTCTCGTAACCTTGTGCCTACTTTACTCGGAGACATTTTGCACACTCTTCACACTCGCACCATGAGGAAAAGAGAAGCTCTTATGTGTTGCATTATGTTGTTGTCTAGGTGGTTTATTTCACATCTTCCTCGGTCAGCTTTGAAGAATGAACAAGTCTAAATTGGTCGCAAAGAATAATGTCGCTTTCTCATATGAATATCCATCGGTTCTCTCGATCTCAAGAGGACATTACTATCATTGACCGTTGTGGGGAGTTCCTTACTGTTCCACTCTTGGGAATTAAGGGAGGTATTACTTATAACCCTTCTTTGTCTCTACGACAATTTGGCTATGCTCGAATAGATGGTGCTCATGATGCACTTATCCAAGGTATTGTATTTGACTACGAGAACAATGTCCAAAATTATCGTTAGAGGTTTGTACGAGCTTGGGGCATGGTAAACAAGGTTGATAGCATGACTTTGGGGTATAAGAACTCCCTTCTGTTGGAGCCTTATCTCAAATTGGTGCGAGCTCGCGCTCAGAATCTCATGATGCCATATCCTGCTATTCTACCAATAGTTGTGGAGCCTGTTGCCAAAGGGGATGTTCCTTATACCATTCTCCATCCCGACATGCCTACCGACTTCGAGGAATTGTAGAGATTGTGGATTCAACTCAAAGGGGAACATGACACCTTTGAAGCTCGATTTTATGCAAGTGAGAAGAAAGTATTGGAGCTCACAAGGCAACTTCACGAGGAGCAAATCCTGAATGCATACATTACACCAAAGAGAAAGCGTTTGTGGGAGATTTGAGTATTTTGTTTTAGAAGTTTATTTTGTTGTCTTTTAACACCCTTTTTTCTTTTTCATTATAAACCCAAGGGGCAGTTGCAATCTTGAATTTATTAATATAATTGTTGTGTTTATTTCCATCTGATACAGAGTGATGCCATTATTTACAGCAAAAGAGATTAAGAGTCTGATAGATTCTAACCTGGCGACTGGAGCAAAGGTTTCTGTATAGTCTACCCCCTCTTGCTGACTATAACCTTGTGCAACCAGTCGTGCCTTGTTTCTGATGACTTCTCCTTGCTCATTCAGTTTGTTTCTGAACACCCACTTTGTTCCAATGACGTTGAATCCTTTTGGTTTGGGAACCATATCCCATACGTCATTTCTGGTGAATTGGTTTAACTCCTCCTGCATTTCCAGAATCCATTCGTTGTCCAGAAGAGCTTCATCAGTTGTTGTTATTGTTGGTTCAATCAGAGATACCAATCCCATGAGGAATTCTTCAGAATTTCTGAATGTTGATCTTGTTCTGATTGGATCATCCTTCTTTCCCAGAATCTTATCTTCAGGGTGAGCTATGATGCTTCTGGATAACCTTTTCTGGAGTTGATCAACAGAAGGTGCTGGAATACTTGTGACATTTCCTTCTGATGTTGTTGGAGCGTCTTTGTTGGGAACTTTTGATGAGTTTCCTTCAGCACCTGTGAATTCAACTTCTATATCTGCAAAAGATTCATTCTGCTTTGACTTTTGATGGTTAAGCTTATCATCAAATCTAACACTGATTGACTCTTCAACAATCTGTGTTTCTGTATTGTATACTTTGTACCCTCTTGAGCGTTTAGAGTATCCTAACATAATACACTTCTGTGCTTTAGAGTCAAACTTGTTCAAATGTTCTTTAGTGTTCAGAATAAAACATGTACATCCAAAAGGATGGAAATAAGAAATGTTGGGCTTTCTGTTCTTCCACAATTCATATGGAGTCTTTTCCAAAATAGGTCTTATAGAGATTCTATTTTGAATGTAACACGCTGTGTTAATTGATTCTGCCCAGAAGATCTTAGCAATGTTAGTCTCATTGATCATGGTTTTG